ACTGAATTCACAGTGTTTTCTTAAGGAATTTAATCCCCTCCTAGTACCCAAGGTAATGGATTATTTCCTCCCAGGATAGAACGAATCACACACTGGTGTAGCGGTACTTCAAACCCCAGTGTTTCAGCGAACACAAAGTTCGGTAGCAAATCACACTTACAGTTGCTTTGTTTGAAGTTAAAAATAATGCAGAACGAAGGAGTAGAAACTCAGAAAATCGTATGGAAATGCTAAGAGGAAGGAGTGCAATGTATAGCCAAATCTGTTGAGCGTTTTCAGTCTTGTGTCTTGTGTGTCTTTCTTCAACAGCTGCTGCACATATATATAGCAGCCAGTGTTGAAGAAGAACAATCGTCCACCCTCCATAGTGGAGCAAGCACATTCATGGTGGGAAGAGCATTAGGCGGCTGCCTTGTGGTCAATACACGGATTGGAAAATATCCGTTACAAATGCGGATAATCTTACGTTCAAAAAATTAATCAATCAATCAAATCCGTAGCCGTAGCCGAGCGACGACAACGACGCAAGGCTTGCTTTCTTCTTAACTCTTTAAGAGCTACAAGAAGAGCAATTATATATATACCCACCAAAATTTTTTTCCTCTTCCAATATGGGACAATGTCTCATTGTCAAGAGGGGAAAACTTAAAATTTTACTCAAAAATTTCATTTTTCCTCCATTTCTCATTCACCCTCATTTTAAGACTATTTCATCTTAAAAACAAAACTTCAACAGAGAATTGAGATAATGAAGTTCTCGTTCTTTATTTATTTGTTTATTATAATTTTTTTTTGGCTTGGCAATGAGAGGGAAATTAAATCTAGTTTTACAACGCTAAGCTGGAATGCCTTTCTGCCAAAGTCTATTACAGTTGCATTATTGTCGTAAACTAAAAGACTACTCAACGTTGATCTCATCGAATTACGGGCTTATGACTACCGTTAACTATAAGTATATTAATTTGGTTCCATTTCTCAAAAAATTTTTGTTTATGACTTACTCCAAAGTCCCGATATGTTAATTCTCATCGATCACAAGGAGTCTTTCAATATGTACCATATGTAGGATATTGTTTTCCAAGTCCCAATGTGTTCTTTTTTTCTTCTTCTTTTTTTTCTTTTACCTCCTCCCCGCTCCCTTTGTTGGAGTTATTACTCATTTATGACTCGAACTCACAACTCTGAGATTGCAAGGGTGTGGGGTGCTGACCTTCTGAGCTAACACCCTAGAAACCCATAATAAAGTTGGAATCATACTTGACAAAGTATACCACACCTTCTAAAAATTATAAAACATGCTACAAAAGGTAGTGTTCCTCAATTAGTTAACCATACGGCTCAAACTAATGAGAGACAATTTGGTTAATGCAACTTTTTGTAAGAATATTTTTTTCCTGAAAAAAATATTTTTTTCCATTTGCTCCTTGAAAAAAGAAAGCCGTTGTTTTGCTTTGTTTGCCGGATTGATACGCTTTTTTTTCTAAAAATCCTTCTCTCATAGGTCATTACATTTCAGGCCATTTAAGATCGTTTAAAGGGCCTTATATTATAAAGTATAAAGAAAGTCAAGATTGTTCTTACGGAGAAAAGCCTACTTACTTGCTCTTGCTGCTTTTAATTTAAGAGCAAGTCGGTGAAATTTGTAGCTTCTCCCCACCCGTAGAAAAAGTGCTTCTACTGCTGCATAAAATCACTTTTAGTTTTTGGCCAAACATGCTAAACCTAAGAAAAAAAAAATCGTTTTAGAATAAAAAGTGCATTTAGCTTCCCTGGAGTTTGGCCAAATAAAAAATCGAGGTTTTAGGTCTACAAGGCTTTTTACAATGTTGAATTTAAGAAAATATCTTTTTTAGATCTTTTACGTGTAAAAGAAAGATCTCTTATGTGTAAAAACAAATCTCTCATGTATAAAAAAAAAGAGATGAGATCATAAAACTAAATACAAGTTTGTAACGAGGAAAAAACCAATTGACCCAAATCACTCAGTTATAATTAGTCTGTGAACCAATTAAAAGCGAGTTCCTCAAATGGTATTAGTAAGTAGTAACACATAGCAAGAACAAGTCAACACAGAAATTCCAGCATTTTTAACCCGAAAATAAGAGGGGAAAAAACACGATGCCGATAAAACTTTGAAGCAAAAAAGAACTGAAGAGCTCAATTAATGAAATATCTAAAGCTGTTAACATGTAAATAATTTATTACTATAACAATTACTTTTCAATTAAATATACTTAATTTAACATCGAACATACTTCGAAAGTTTGAGATTCTAAGAATCGGATACTTCAAGTTGGGATCAGTTTGCGCGTATTAGTTGAGGTGAAGGGGCGGAGCTAGAGTGTCGAGAGCGGGTTCGGCCGAACCCAGTAGCTTTGATTCGAACTTTCTATTTGTCTTAAAAAATTCATTGACTATATATAAATTATTAATTTAGAACCCAATAACTTAAAGTGATTAAAATCTCAAACTCATAAGTTTGAAATTCTGGCTCCGCCTCTGTTGAGGCGCATGGCTCCGCCCCTGAAATGAGAGTCTCACTTCAATCGAAACCCATATTCTTGCAATGCCTGCCATGATAATGAGAAAGATATCAAAATAACATTGCTTTCCAACATAATCTACCTTAACAGATAATAACAACTGGTATCCAATTTTTAGTGAAGCATAAGCTAAGATACACAAGAGATTAGACTTCGTGCATCCTCGCAAAGAGGCAATCTTTCCCTCGTGAAGCCTCGACGTTTTCTATCTTGATAGTATAATGCAAAACCCATCATCTAAAGAAAGAAAAATGGTAGTACTACATAAATTGCAATGACTTTCTCGGGGGGAAAAATAGCATTGGCAGATTGATGCGAAGGAATACTGTAAAAAGGGCTAGCCCCGAACTCTCCTCCTTGTTAACACGACCAACTTTAGACATCTTTTCAGCTTGCTTTCTCTGAATTCATCAACACAAAAATAATATTTATAAAAAAAAAAAAAATCAAGTGTTGGTAGTTTGCATATCTGAATTGAGAATATAATTGGTAATTCAAAGATGTATTAAAAAATTTATAATCAGAGCTAGAGGACAGTTCTAAACTTTCCTTTGCCTAAATACGAAATAATTCATTTAGATGTATCCTTTTTGGATGCTTTGGCTAAGCTAAAGTGTCTTATAGCAATATATGCATCTGGTTGAAGGGCTACACAGCTGATTTGATACAGTATGTTCAAGGAAATGAAACCATTTACCATAGTTCTTTACAAGACATGAAACTTTCTAACAATATGATAAGTGATAACTAAACCACCAACCTTAATGATTATATTGAAATGTCAGTTCCAGATGTTACTGTTCCATTATCATTGTGTCGTTTCTTATACGGTCGACCACAAAGCACACGTTTTGCCCAATGTATATTTACCAACAATTCGTTTTTTGAAAAAGAAAAAGAATCATAATGCTCCACTTTACCAGCAAGTATCCTTGCGAAAAGGCTATCTTTAATTTCTCTCGTGCTGTGCCCGACGCTTTTCATTTTCTTTTGCTAATCCAAGACCAAGAGCTATCGGCTAAAAAAAAAAGAAAAATGGCCATAAATATATTGCTATGGCATTCTAGAAATATAAGCGATGCCAGATTGATGTGAAGGAATACCACACAATAATGCATATGGTTGTATTTGTTAGTCCCGCCAATATTGCTATATTTGTAAATAATAATTCTCGGAAATATAAGTTATCGTAATGAAACAGTAAATAATTCGAGCCCACTGAATTCACAGTGTTTCCTTAAGGAATTTAATCCCCTCCTAGTACCCAAGGTTATGGATTATTTCCTCCCAGGATAGAACGAATCACACACTGGTGTAGCGGTACTTCAAACCCCAGTGTTTCAGCGAACACAAAGTTCGGTAGCAAATCACACTTACAGTTGCTTTGTTTGAAGTTAAAACAATGCAGAACAAAGGAGTAGAAACTCAGAAAATCGTATGGAAATGCTGAGAGGAAGGAGTGCAATGTATAGCCAAAGTTGAGCGTTTTCAGTTTGGTGTCTTTCTTCAACAGCTGCTGCACATATTTATAGCAATCAGCTTTAAAGATGAACGACCCTCCACACTCCATGGTGGAGCATGCACTAGCTTGTTTGTGGAGCAAGCACTTGGCCATGGTGGGAAGAGCATTAGGCGGCTGCTATTACAGTTGGTGGTCAATACAACAAGCACTTGGCCACAGATTGGAAATTAATCAATCAATCGATCATTTGACCAAAGCCGAAGCCGAAGCCGAAGCCGAGCGAACGACGACGACGACGGCGCGAGGCTTGCTTTTTTCTTAACTCTTTAAGAGCTACAAGAAGAGCAATTATATATATACTCACCAAAAATCTTTTCCTCTTCCAATATGGGACAATGTCTCATTGTCAAGAGCTTCCAATATGGGACAATGTCTCATTGTCAAGAGGGGGAAACTTAAAATTTTACTCAAAAATTTTATTTTTCCTCCATTTCCCATTCACCCTCATTTTAAGACTATTTCATCTTAAATAACAAAAACTTCAACAATATTTGGGGCGGGTAGAATTCAATTCCGACTGAGGTTCCACGTGTCCCAATGAAATGATGCCATCACATTAAAAAAGAGACCACACAATATTCCATTCGTTGCGGGAATGTTTATAGACCGAAAGATATGTTATATGCAATTTTGGACCAAAAAGTGGACGGAGAACAAAAGTAAACCATTTACCAAATGATAGGGGTATTTTTAGCCCTTTTCAGTCAAAATTTTGATCCTCCAATTTCGATTAACTGCTAAAGATAAGTTTGAGTGTTTCAACAATCCCGCTCTAAAAATTGGATCTGAGCAGTAGCTAAATTGATGTAAAATACTTGCTCTCATTGCGTTTGGTATCTAATGCTTAGTCCATGTACCATAAAAAACAAGTTGAAGCAAATGATACTGAAGGTAAAGACGAAAAAAAATATACAATGATAGGACATGAAGTAAAAAGCGAGAAGTGAAGCGCTCAATCAATGAAACATTAAAATATATGCATCCAACGTACAATAGTATCAATGTTAACCAAACTCCTAATGTTAAGAGATTTAAGGAATTGCGCGTCATTATTTAGAGACGCTCCCATCAGTAAACAACCCTGGGAGTTGCTTTCGTCGAGCACTCTATTGTTGCAATGCCTGCCACAATAATGAGATTTAAGAGATCAAAAATAACATGTGCTTTCAAACATAATATCGTTAACATTATCTACCTTAACAAACAATAATAAGTGGGTGTCCAAGTATTTATCACACTTCCTAATGAAATATAGAAATCTTGCTTTACCGCCTTGTATCCTTCCAAAAATGCCATCTTTCTCTGATGATGTGCCTGACTTGTTTTATGTTGATTGAATATTGCAAGACCTATCATCTAAACAAAGAAAAATGGTAGTCATAAGTAAATTGCAATGGCGTTCTAGAAAAGAAAATAGCATTGCCAGATTGATGTAAAGGAATATACTATAAGAATGCACTTGGCTAGCCCTGAATGTCCCTCCTCCTCAAGACGACCACCTTTGACCATATTCTTTTCGCCTTCGTTTCTCTGAATTCCACCCCAAAAAAGGAAGTTCAAGTGTTAGTAGTTTGTATATCTAAACTGAGAGTAGAATTGCTGATTTGAAGATGTATTAAGAAACATTACAATCAGAATTCAGAGCTAGGGAACATTGTTTTTTTTGTTAACAAGGGAACCCGCAGCTGCTACCCTTTGGGTGCGCATAGGGTAAACCTCGCTCCTGTGTAATAGCTCGCAAACCACACAAGAGGTAAACCGCACTAGGCATGTCCCGTACGACGGGCTCGACCGAGGAGGTATGCAAGCAGGATTCGAACCGTAGACCTCCCATACTTTTCAGTGTTCAACCTAAATATGAAATAATTTATTTACCTGAGCCATTCCTGTGATGGATCAATGAAACTTGGGGTTCAACCCAGAAGCTATAGGTTTTGATACAGTCTTCAATGGAAGGGCAACACGATTGAGTACTGGCATCATAATGATAACAAGATGAGTGCAGGTAAAAATTCTTGAAGCTGATTAATTGAAATATATAAGAACAAAAACTCATGAATGAAAAGTGCAAGTAAAACATTTTTTTTTCCCTTTTTAATGCTTAACAAGGAAAAAAAGTGTTTTACCTACACCATATCTGTGATATTTTTCCTTTTTTTTTTTTGTAAATTTTAGTCAAGGTATAAGTGAGGCTGATCTTCTCTAATTTCCACAAGTTTGTCAAAAAGAAGTAACTGATCAATCTAATAGATAAGTACAGTCCAATAATCTTAATCATTTTGAATAAGGAATCAGAGTTAGATGCAGGGGAATTTCGCCCTTTAGCCCTAAATCAGTTCTTATGTTCCAATTTACGTGAACCTATTTCCTTTTTGGTCTGTTCCAAAATGAACGACCCCTTTCTAAATTTGGTAATAATTTAGCTTAAACTTACAACTACCTCAGTGAGAAACTTTTATAACCACAAAAATACTGTGGCTTGTTTAGCACCACAAATTCCAAAAATATTCATTTTTTCTTAAACTTCGTGCCAAATCAAACAGGTTCACATAAATTGTAACGGAGGGAATACTATTTTACAATCTGATAGTATATTGTTGCAGAATTCTGCAGCGATTACCTAAAAGTCATAGGCCGTAAGAACATATTATAATCACAATGCGGGGGGCGATTTATAGTTTAACGGAGTAAGTTGAACCGATCCAGTAGATTCGGCTCACACACTATCTATATGTGTTAAGAATTCACTAGATAAATACAAATAATATGTTAGAAAAACAAAAAAAATCGAATGAACTATGGGTTCAAAAGATTCTAAACTTATAAAGTTAAAATACTGAATAGATTCTGATCACAATAAGATAACATCACATGAACTAAGAAAGACTTACTTGTCATTTTGATTGATTGTGAGAAGGGAAAAGCCCTAGGCTTTGTTATGCTCTGTTTTATAATCTCAACGACAAACTTTTGAACTTTGTGTTTTGGACTTTAGAAAGAAAGTTTAAATAAATATACCCTTCTAATTTCATATATTGTCAACATTTAACCTCCGTTATACTATCAGGCCAAATTTAACCCTACCATTATACTATCGGGCCAAATTTATCCCTACAATTAGCAAACTTTTAAAAATAATCCTTGATCTGTTAAGTAATTCAAAATCTCCCAATTTTTTTTTATTTAAATCACTTGTTTTTCTTGCTCCATTATTTTCAAAAATTACTATTGATGTGAATGTTTAAGTTACTAGACTATACAAATTATTCATTTTTTTTAATTACCAATGCACCCATTTCTCTTCTTGTAATAAATAAAATTGATTTAAAATTTTATTTATTTTTCAATCATATACACACCGTAGAATTTAGTGGATCTATTTATTGTGTATTATATGCAGCTGATCATCATGTATCTACATGTATATTCAAATATATTTTATCATTGTCTGGTTAGTATAGAGTTCGATCGACTAACTTAAGAGTGCACAATGTGTAGGCATTTAATTAAAGCAATTAGACAATGTAAAGTCTCCGAGAAACTTCAACTTCAATCACTAATACTTGCAAAGTCTCCATACATTTGGTGCAACGAACTCATTAAAATTGGGATGTTGTAAATAGTTTTAGAATTTAGAAAAGCTACCTATTTTATATTTTTCAATTTACTATACTTTATTTATTCGGTTATATTATTTAATATTTTTTTCTCTTATTTTTTTTCTCTAATTCAGAAAGCAGGTAAATGCCAATTATTTCAAAAATAGTGGATCAAGAAGAACAACAAGTAATTTAAATAAAAAAAATTTGGGAGATTTTGGATTACTTAACAGATCAAGGGGTACTTTTAAAAGTTTGTTGATTATATGGGTAAATTTGGTCCGATAGTATAACGGTAGGGGGTAAATTTGGCCCGATAGTATAACGGAGGTTAAATATAGACAATATATGAAAATAGGGGGTACATTTGGCCCTTTTCCCTTAAATAAAAGATTTCGGGGAGCCGGTCATTTCTTTTCGCGGGTTTTAAGGGTTGTTAGTTGGGCTTTAGTGGGCTGGTTTGTTGTGTTATTGGGTTGTTTCCACTGGTAGCCACTTTTAAGTCTACTATTTAAAATATATCCATAATTTATAATGTATTTAAAGATTTGACAAGTCGTCCAAACTTCATAAATAAGTATCCTAAATTTTTGAGCTGCTAATTTGGAATTGAGGACTTAGTGTCCTAAATTTTTGAGTTGTTAATTTGAAATTCAAGAAGAAATGTCCTGAATTTCTGAATTGATAATTTAAAATTCAGATTTAAGTGTCCTGAATTTCTGAACTGCTAATTTAAAATTCAGGACATAAATTTCTAATTTTTGGACACAATATTCGAACTTTAGGATACGACGTCCTGAAGTTTGAGCGAATCGGCTAATCTTTAAATATATTATAAACCGTGAATATAACTTTTGACTTTAAATTTTGGGATTTTTTCATTCCTATACAGTATTTGAAACCTTATTACGAAAAATGTTCATGTTTTGGTATTTACCCGACCTAAACACATTTTTCTTACAAAATGTATACAATCCATCTTAAAAAGTTTTCAATCCATTATTTGTGCCTTCAATCAAGGAATTTAGTTACACCATTTTCCTTTTTTTCTCTCCTCTCTCCCCTCTTACAACAAACAAGCTTCGTAAACTCTTCTGAACATGAGTCATTGATAGCTTCGTAAACCAACCCATTCCCAAGCTTTTTAGTATCGATTTGCAGTAAGTACAAATCATCCTTAACATTCAGGAAAAAGTTCAGCAAAGTTGGTTGAACCTGGTCGAGCTTACTGAGATGTATATAACCAGTGGTTCGGTCAAACTCCCCCCCAAAAATGCTGCCGGTTTTCTGCAGAAATCACAGTGTTAATTCTGAAACATATCTTTTGATGAAGAAAAGCATCTCTCAAGATTGAACTTATATTTAGGGATTTAGAGAATCTAATCTCTCAGATCTCGAGTACCGTCACCCTCTCTTTCTCCCCATATCTCATCTTCTACTANGAAGAAAAGCAGCTCTCCAGATTGAACTTATATTTAGGGATTTAGAGAATCTAATCCCTCAGATCTCGAGTACCGTCATCCTCTCTTTCTCCCCATATCTCATCTTCTACTACTTTATGGCAAAATATAGAAATCACCACGCTTACTACTTTATGGCAAAATATACATATCCATAATCAACCAGACTTTGGCATGAGAGCTGCTTAATGATATAGAGAAGAGATATGAAAATAACAATAAACCTTTCATCTCACACCCAACAAATTTAAATACAAATTTTATACAAATATGTCTTTTGTATATTTTGTATCTGATTTATACAAAAAACAAATTGCATACATAATAATTATATATTATACAACTTATCTACAACTACAATATCATACCACTTAACTACAATTTTTATACAAACTTTATACAATGTATTTTGGATATTTTGTGTCTGATTTATACATAGTAAAAATAAATTTTATACAGCTAATTATATATTATACAACTTATATACATTATTTCTACCCCAGTTATATACAACTGCAATATCATACAACTGAAATACAATTTTTATACAATATTGTTCAACTTTCATATAATATTTAAATAAAAAATATATATATATAAACAACATAATACAATTTTTCTATAACTTTACTACAATTTCGTAAGTATAATGTATGTCATGTCTTCTTCTTCTTCTTTTTCTTCTTCTTCTTCTTCGGTTTCAATCTGAAATTTAGTCAAAATCAAGTCTAATCTTCACCAAAACACCCTCAAAATTGAGATATAAACTCCAAACAATATTTTTAATTGTTTGCAACAACACTCAATCCAAACAAATAATGATTTTTGAAAACCTAAATTCGAATTCAAAGCTTCAAAGCTTTTTAATGACTGTCAATGGTGGAATTGCTGCTCTCTTTTCCTTTGCTCTACATTATTGGAATTAGGGATTGAGAGATAGAGAGAGACGTAGAGAGAGAGAGAGAGAGAGAGAGAGAGAGAGAGAGAGAGAGAGAGAGAGAGAGAGAGAGAGCGCAGGAGGGAGAGAGAATAAGGATG